GCAGGGTAAACCTGATACTGGGAGAGAGAAGTAAGACTAAAAAGTACAAATGGGTTAAGAAGAAAAGGAAGTTAAGGAGAGAGACACCAACAATGGAAAAGGGGTCAGGACTCTATCAAAAAGATTCTAGTGAAAAAAAATTAGATGGTTCACTCCCTGACTTAATGGGAAACATCAGAGGCAGTTCCTGGAAAATCACAGCCTGAAATTGTGATTGTTTTGTCTCGATGAGGTTTTGGTATCTCTTAAAATTTAGTTACTGATAAATATATGAGTAGAGTATTGTCTTTCTGAGTTGCAATGGAAGGAAATGCTTTTCTGGGATATGTTCAAGTAATTAGAGTCCAAGGATGTATTCCAGGAATGACAAAGTATATAATTCTGTGAATGATGGGGGTGGTCTGGGTACTTATCTAATTCCTAGTTGAGGAATCAGAGCCAGTGGTTCTGTTCATTCCTACAATAAAGAGATAGGGGATGTAGTGGTAAATAGTACAACTTTTGTTTTTTTGTCTTGTTTTAATTTTCTACAATTAGGAGTTCTGATAAATGGAGCTTGGAAAGAAAGCCAGTCTGCCTCCAACAGAAGCAGCCATCCCTGAGACAGGCCACAAGGAAGAAGCAGTGCAGGGAAATCCAGGTTGACTCAGACTCAGGAAAGAAATGTAGAGACCCATTCAAAACATGCTTTTAATGACAGAGTTCATGAGTTGCCCATGGCCCAGGAAGAATGTGCAGAGATGTGCATAAGATGGGGAATGGATCAGAAGAGAGTCCACACAGAAACAGAGGAACGAGAATAGAAGCCTTGAGACATTACTTTGGACACACTATTTGTAATGGTGAAGGAAAGACTAGAAATCATAGATTTTGTACTTAGAGCTGTTAAAGGAGAGCTGGGAAAATCAACTTCATTTGGAGTTTTTTCCCCTTAAGATTCAGCATAGCCTCTTTATTTTAAATGCAAAGGCCAGAGGACTCAAGGCTAAAAATCATCTTACTGAGAGCTAGAGTTGCTTACATGAAGGTTATTGGTGGCATAAAGGAAAGAGAATACTTGCTCAAGTCTCCTCATTTTACTGTAAATGTTAACACCACAATACGCATATATTTTCCGCCAAAGAAAATAGGACTTCAGTCCTTAAAACTAATTCCCAAACAATGTTCTCTCTTAGGCAAGACTCAGTGAAACTTTACAGCCCATCTTCCCGGGTTAGCAAACTTTGTAATAGACTTTGAAACCATGTTTTTCTTGGTCAATCATTGGTTTCAGTGGCAAGTCACTCAAATTCTGTCAATCAGCATTAGGTTCAATCAACTTTTCATTCATTGTAGACTAAAATATACAGTAACT